CAGAAATGGGTGTTGGATTTTATCAAATGCCTTTTCTGCATCAATTGATATGATCATGTGGTTCTTCTCCTTTGTTTTATTTATGTGGTGGATGACGTTGATTGTTTTTCTAATGTTGAACCAGGATGTAGAAACTTTTATGGCAATTTGATATTATACAACATCCAAGCACATAATTTTAGAAAAATATCAGTCCATAATAGATTAGCATTAAAACAAAACTAAAAAACAATCCTGAATGATCACTGCTTAAAGCCGTAAGAGCTCAATCAGCTCTGTGGTTTTCACAATCAGTATGTACTGCATTTTAATTTGCAGTAGAACTAAGGTTCTGAGATCCCAAATATATGTCATTCAAATAAAACCAATTTCTAACTGTAAATTTTCATCCATGAATAAAACGACTGTACTGAGTATGTACAGAAAAATAAGGTAATATTACTAGCCCCTTTAATAGAAATACTGACTTTCTTCCACAAGGCTTTTAAAGCGCTCTCATACAAGTCATCTCTTGTTTCCTCATCACAGATCTCTGAGGCATGGAGGGAGAGAAAGTTTATCACTGTAGGGTCAGTGAAAGAGTATTTATATAATTTCAAAGCTTCTGGATAAAGAGATTGAAACTACAGACCATGAGAACTAAACAAATCAATGAATCCAAAAACCAAACTCACTGCCATCAAGTCAATTCTGACTCACAGTAATCCCCTTTGGGTTTCCAGGGCAGTAAATCTTTACAGAAGTAGACTGCCCAGTCTTCCTTCTGTGGAGTGGCTTGTGGGTTTGAACCACCAACCTTCTGGTTAGCAGTCAAATGCCTTAGGCACTATGCCATCAGAGCTCCTTATATCAATGAAAATGTCACTTTAAAATAAACATAATTCCAAATTAGGTATACCTAGCTCTAGAGAAACCAGGCACATTTGGTCCCGGCCTACACATTTATTTTCATTATTTTTATAATAAATAGCTAAAATGTGTAATTCTTTGTTCTAGCAATTCCACTTCTGGGAATTTTTTTCTACCAATATACAATACATACACAAAGACTGTTGTTGTTGTTGTTATGTGCTGTCGAGTTGGATCCAACTCACAGCAACCCCTCCTTGGGTTTCCGGGGACCTATCACTAGGGAAGTAGATTGTCCAACCTTCCTTCCGAGGAGTGGCTGGTAAGTAGCAGGCAATTTACCACACCACTGTTTATAACAGCTACAAGTTACAAGTCTAGAATAGTATTTATGGCATAACATCATTTGTGTGAAAAAGAAGAAGGCATGTATAATAAGTGTACATGAATGTATATAACAAATATAGATTTATATGGAATAATACAAAAGGAACTGAGGAAAGAAGGCAGAAATGAGAAACTGGGGTTAGAAGATATAAACTTTTTAGCACATTTAATGCTGATATCTTTTGAATTTCATACCATAACATGTTACTAATTCAATATAAAAATAATTCCAAAAGAGTTTATGTAATATAACAGAAAATACATAGTTTAGACATGAGATAGACCCTAATCTAAATCCTAACTCCAATAACTATTTACCATAACCTGAGCCTCTGAGCTTGTGCGCACACCTGTCAGATGCAGATCATGTATGTGTAAATAAGTAGCAAACAAACAGCAAAAAACAAAAACACAAACTCACTGCCAATGCATCAATTCCAATTCATAGCAACCTCATCAGGTTTCCAAGGCTGTTAATCTTTATGGAAACAGATTGCTTCATCTTTCTTCTGGGAGCAGCTGTTGGGTTTACTACCAAACTTTTGGTTAGCAGCCAAATGCCTTAACCACTACACCACCACAGTTCCATAAACAAACAGCAAGTCCTTTTTTTAAAAAAAAAGTTATCAGAAAGGAGCTAATCAGGCTGAACTTGAGATTGAACCAATATTTAGAAGACCTGTCTACTCCCTGCTAGGTAACACATTTGGCAATTTTACACAACTGCCTTATTTGGTCTTCATGACAGTCTTCTGAAGTAAGAACTGTAATGCCATTTGACAGATGAGGGAATTAAATCCCCCAGCTTGTGTGTAAAAGGTGGAAAGAAAATGAGAGGATACTTAGGGAATAACGAGGCAGACAAGGATACCAGGAAAGCAAAGCCCACCTGTGGAGACGGCAGTGGAAGTCGGGAGAAGGCTACGGTCAGAGTCGTGGCTTCCCTTGATACTTTCACAGCTGCCTCATCTGGAGAGTGGAAGAGGACGAGACAGGTGCCAATTTATTAATGGCAAAAGGATAAGGCTGCGGCTGCTGCACAGACTTTAAAGATAGTGCTTTCCCTCTCCACCCTTACCGGCTGAGGCGTCTCAAAAACGCCGTCAAAAATCAACTTTTTATACTTCCATCTTTCACATGCCGAGGATGGGTAAGGTGAGGTGAGAATGCGGCGGGGAAGGGCAGTCACCCCCATGGGAGAGTAATAGGGAAAGGGGTTGGGGCGCGGCTCAGGGTGGAGAACGGCCCAAGGATAAATGGGAGAGGTAAGGGATAGCTGTCTCCAATGAGAGTAGCACTTACTTAGTCTTTTCCAAAACGTCTCCCGATTAAACTCCTCGGTGTTCTCCTGGGCTTCGCCGACTTGTGGGAGCAGCGTGTGTATACCAGTGGCAAAAGCAAAAGCTGGGGGTAAGCGGAGCCACCTCCGGCCCCCTACTTTTTCCACCCAACCCCCCGCCACCACCTTTGCCTTACTTCCCACAGTCCCAACCCGCCTGTCACCTTCCGACCCCACTGCGTCAGCTCACCCCGCACTCTAGGCATGAGCAACCGCAGCTCCTCTACCAGGTGCCGGAGCTGCTCCAAAGGCTGAGCCAGGGTGGGAACGGCGGATGCAGGTGCAGCTGTGCTCGCCATCTCAGTCGCTTGCCTGGAAACGACCAGTGTCGCCACCGCTGCTGCCAGAGACGCAATGCAGAAACCAGTCCACTTCCGGGAGCCATAGACGAGGATCCGTTTCCGGCAACAACGCTTCAAGCCCTGCCCCAGGAGCTCGGCCACGCCCCACTCTACCCAGAGGCAGAGCCACGCCTCCACCGACTCAAGAGGACAGGCAACGCTTCCTCCCGCCCTCAGAAACTAAGACACGCCTCCTCCCACTCCTGAGGCAGGCAAGGGGTCATATTGGTTGCTTATTCATTCATTCATTTATTTAGTTGAAAACACCCCCAACCACGGAAGCAGAGAGCCATAACCCTGCAGGAAAATAGGGCTAGGAGCTATTATCTCCAAAGGCAGTTAGGGTTGGGTCCAAGTGCCAAGTTTCTGCTCCTAAAATGGAACCCCCCGGCGGCTGCTGAGCGCCAGGTACTGTACTAGGTGCTTTATGTGGGGTAACCCAAACACCCTGGGCCTCAGATACATTCATCCAGCCAGCTGATCCACCCTGTGGATATCCTAGATTAGGGCTTTCTCTTCACAAAGGTAAATCAACCTTTTGCCTTCTTGGGGAAGAAAAAAATCACAGCATTAATTAGAGATTTTTCTCCAGTCCATTCTGCAGCAATCAGTAGTGGGTAATCCCTCTAATCCCAGTTGTCCAAAGAGCAGCAGCTTCCTTAAGCTTTCCCACCAATACTGGCATTCCACCTGCTACTTACTGGTGCAGGGCCTGCACTAGAGGTGGAAACTGGAGTTTGGCCCACCTGCTGATGGTGAAGCATGGCCTTCAGGAGCTCAGGTGGCTTTTTAAGTGCACAATGAAGGCTCCAAGCTCAGTGGGGTTCAGTGTCCATACACAACGAATGAGAATGGGTGTCAGTAGTGTCAACCAGGTCCGCAAAGGGGAGAAGAAAAAAGCCAGGGTGCCGTAAGTCACATGAAGAAAGTAGCAGGAATAAACCTGCCAGATGTATAATAGTAGAATAAGTAGGTAAACAGGTATAATCTTCAAGTATTTTCCATGGTGGAGATGAGACCTGAAGTTGTGACCAAAGCACCGCTGCAACAAGCTCCAACACAGGTAAGCCATCAAGGGTATGTTAAAAAACACCAGCTGGAAAGAGGAGCAGAGCAGAACCATTAGCTTACCACTAAGCCTTGGAGGGATCAGGTCTCATTATCCGTGGATCCCAAGAATATGTTACTTTCTCTCTTTGGGGGTTAGCTCTCTGTTTCTTTCTCATTTGATCACTTACTTATAACACAACAGTTGATTTATAGTTTTTGTATTTGCTTGTGTCCTCTTGTTATCTTAAAGGCAGGTATCATTTCATTTATGTTGAATTCCCCAGCTTTCAATATACTATCACACTAACAGATATTCATAGTGTTTAAGTTGAAATTGAATTGAATATGTGTATAAGGGAGCTCTGGTAGCATAGTGCCTAAGGCACTTGACTGCTAACCAGAAGGCTGGCGGGTCAAACCCACCAGCCACTCCTCGGAAGGAAGATGGGGCAATCTATTTCCGTAGTGATACTTCCTCGGAAACCCAAGGAGGGGTCGCTATGAGTCAGGTCCGACTCGACAGCAAATAACAACAACAACATATGTATATATACCTATATACACACACTTCTATATACTCATACTCATTTTTCTTTTTTCAGCCAAGGAGGACTTGAGTATCAGTATTTTTTCCCTTATCTTTTTTTTTTTTTTTTGAGGCAGCATACTGAGTACTGGAATACAAATCAGAAGCTTTAAGTTATAATACAAACTTAAGTTCTGTATGATTCATTCATTTATTCAACAGATATTTATTGGGCACCCATTAGGTGGAAGGCATTGTGCTAGACTCAGCTATAGACAAGTCTGAAAAGATCCACTCTAAGGGCTTACACTCTAACAAGGAGACAGACAAAAAAAAAAAAAAAAAGTAATTACAGATTGTGGTAAATTCAATGAAAGAAATAATTGGGTCACAAGTGTAAGTGGGAGATGACCTCTCTGAGGCCTGAGGACAGGAATGAGTCAGTGGAGGTAAGTGCATTCCAGGCAGAAGGAAGATAAAAAGCCCAAAGGTGGGAGAGGCTTTGGTCTCTTTAAGGCCAGCGTGCCTGGGGCATGACAAACCTAGTGAAGACTGGGGCAGTCAGCAGGACCCAGATTATGTCACTGCTCGGCTTAAAAGATTTTAATCTGAGAATTGAGTGAGCTGATTCAGGTCCTAAAAAGATCACAATGGATGCTTTGTGGCAAACTGATAATAGGGGAACAAGAGTAGGAGTAGGAAGACTAACTAGTTAGAGATCATTATAGTAGCCCAGGCAAGAAATAATTATGACTAAGTTGGTGGCAGCAAAGATAGAAACAAGTGGTTGGATTCAAGGTATGTACTGGAGGTAGATCAAACAAAGTATGATTTGCTAATGGACTAGATTCAGAGTATGAGGAAAGAACTGAGGATACATCCTGGAGAAACTGGGTGAATGGTGGAACCATTTATTGAAATTGGAAAGAACTGGGGGAAAGAACAGGTTTGGAGATGGAAATTAAAGGTTCTATTAAGATACATGATATTGAGATGCCTGTTAGACATCTAAGGGAAGATGTGAAATGACAGATACATAGGCACTTGAAGTGCAGAGAAGAGGTCTAGGCTAGAGATATAGATTTGGGAGTCATGGGCTTGCATGTCACATAAAATCCAGTTTTGTGTACTATTTATTAAATTATGAATGTAAACAAGAAAAAAAAAGTCTTTGGGCAAGGTTCTGGTTTTACTTGGTAAAAGAGTGCTCTAAGGTGCAACCTCCATCTACATAATGGAAAACTAAACTGGACCCAGGACCTATTCACATATATAATGCTGTCATGCAGACAATGTTCTGGCCTGTAGTCAGTGTTTGCTAGGCTGAGGTCTTGCCTATTTTGGCTGTCTGCAATCCTGCTGATCATGTTTTACTGCCCTGGTATAAGGGCTTTGAACTCATTTTGAACAATGTGTTTTGATCTCTTCCTAAACTTCAGATTACGACCTCAGATTTTGGTTAGCCCCATTAGGTGAGTAAAATATAGTAACTATCAGGTAAATACCTTTGAAATCTGTTTATGGAAATTTGCTGTGGGCCAGGGCTCTTTCTGTGTTTGCTCTTTTTAAAAGACTCTTAATCCAAATATAAACTTAATGCATCAGTGTTTCCCAAGCAAGTATCTTCCTAAGACATCACTGAAAAGCTCAAATCTGCTTTTTGTCCATTGTTGTTTCCATTGGATGAATGACCCACTTTTCTTGCATGTCTGTTTTTATTTCTTCCCCCTGACAAGTATTGTTTCTTCATCAATCCTAATCAATTTTGGTTTACTCAGAACTCTTGTCATTCTACTATAAGCCCCTTATTTCATTTTCTGTCAATGAAAAAGCACAAGGAAACAAACAAATAACAACAACAAAAATCTCCTTTACCTCTTACAAATCCTGCCCTCCAAAAACATATTTTAGATGTTTACAAGAGAGTGGTAGAAGAAAGTGCTTAGGAAGTATTCTAAACACACACAAAAAACCACCAATTATTAGAGATTGCCCGGACAGCAAAGTAGGAAAGATAATCTATAGTATTTAATTTGAGACTTTGAATTTAATTCATAACTGTAATGCTGCTATTAGTCTAACAAGGCCAAGGTATTCTTAAATTCCTTTTCCAACTTCTTACCTGGAGAATTCCAACTATAAATGTTAAGCTGCCTTGTAGGAAATGTCCATCAACAAAGATCCCAAAAGAAAAGCAGCAACCCAATTTTCCTGTAATGATTTCACCAACAAACCATGGTCCTGAAAGAGGCAATGGATATTATGGATAGGAAAGGAGATTGAGTAACTATGACTCTGATTACATACATCCAGGAGATACATTTCTAGGACTAATAAAGAGGTATGAGACTAGTCATCTATAAGCATTTTATTTGCATCACTTTTCACTTGCTAGTATCTATATTGCAACTAATGTCTAATTACACATTAATTACTTACTCTCTACCTCCATATTTCTCTGATTATAAAAGCTATACTTAGAATAAATACGTAGCTTGTAGATTGCAGAAACTTATTAGAGCTCATTTACTAATTTTAGATTTCATTGCAATAACTTTAATATAAAGCACTATCGTTTCCTTTAAGAAGCAAAGAGATGTTCCAAAGATGTTTATTTTCCAGATAGCTGAGATTTACTCCTCTAAGCAATAAATATTTTTAAACTACTTTTTGATGAAAATCTTTCTAAAATGTACTTTTGTGTACTTCTCATTCTTATAGCATAATGAGTGTATTTTAATCTTTTCTTGATGACGTACAGTCATAACTTTTTACGTCAACTACACAATCAGGATTAACATGTCTAAAGTTTACCATGCTTCTTTATTTTAATTTTTCACCTACAATGCCATTCTGACTTTTTTACCTATTATTTACCAGTCCTTCTTAGTGTGGAGTTTGAGGAACTACTACTGTATTGTCAAGAGTGATAAGGGACAGTCAGACTTTCCTTTTCAAAACGAAAATAACTGTCATTTGCTGGTCAGAATAGAGTCCAAGTTTAAAAACTCATACACAGCTTTCTCAGATATATATTATATAAACTCCATTAAAGACATATTAGCCTAAAAAAAGTGTTTTCTCTTCAAGTTTCAACTTTTACAAAAAGAGCAACTTCTGCCCTTTAATGTTTTCTTTTACATTCCCAGAACCAAATCATTTTCTTTGTCTCCGGGTGTAAGACAGGTTATCTGAAAGAGCTCCAACCTATCTTCTGATAGAATTTACCTCCAAAGCAGAATGTACATAGCTTGTTATACAGAATTGTAAAGTGTTATATACTTTCTGTTTTCTGATAGGAGTTACTATCAGAGCAAAGAAAAGTCTAAAGTTGACATAAAAGTATGAAGCAAGACTAAGACTAGGCTATGCTACTCCTAATTAACTGGCTTTTAATCACTAAAAATTAAAATCACTAATCACTAGCGAAAAGCATGAAAGACACTTGAAGTGTTTTCTGCTTCTGTATGTAGCTAAGTAACTTCTTAAGTATAGGGTATAATAATTAAAAATGCAACAGAAGCATTTAGATATGCCTAAATTCATTGCTCATGTCAGTTTCTTTTTCTTTTTTGAGCTGAGTTTTTAAAACCACACAATGGGAGCATAGTGCCTAAGGCACTTGACTGCTAACCAGAAGGCTGGCAGTTCAAACCCACCAGCACTCCTCGGAAGGAAGGTTGGGCAATCTACTTCCGTAGTGATACTGCCTCGGAAACCCAAGGAGGGGTCACTATGAGTTGGGGCTGACTCGATAGCACATAACATATGCACTGCGCATTATGCTTAGTTCTAAGCAAGGAGGTGAACGGCTATTCTAATGAAAAGATAGATAATAAGGCAATCATAAATTCTGATAAGAGCATGAAGGAAATAAAAAGTGTAAATTAGACAGTAAAACGTTAAGGTAGTCTGTCCTGAGGAGGTGGTATTTAAGCTGAATTTCTATCTTTCATTAGGTTTCTGCACAATATTAATTCCTTAACTGTTTTCTTGGCACCCTTAACTTGGTGTTGACTAAAGGTCCTTTAAACATGTTAGGAAAGAATTCTATTTTCTAAGACTGTGTCCCAGGAAATGATATATGAAAGAGCCATGTGCCATTCGATATGACCTCAAGAGCCCAAAAAACTCGATTGTCAAAATGCTCTATATATCCTTTGGCAGAATTCTTTACAACTTCAGGTTTCCTAATTTACTTACCAAAGACTGTATATAGGGTCAGCAACAACACAGAATAGTAGAAAATGTTTATTTTGCTCAATACATGAAGGGAAAATGAGGTCAGATTTACAAATCCTGGAGGTCCTAAACAAAATAAATTTGAAAAATCCAGTAAACACATGCAAAGTTGAATTTCATTATACATTTTCTAGAATACTTCCATGGGCTATTTGTTATACATTCAGCAAATCATTTGTTATATTTTAACTATATACAAATGAGCCCACATTAAATTCAGAAGTTTTTAGAAATCCTGATGTACTAATTCACTTAGAATTGCACAGGACAGAAAGTTCAAAGAAAGGGTATGGTTGTGATACATATATAGAGAGAGACAACTGATACAATAAGGAAATACCTGCCAGAACTCTATGCTACTTTATGTTCATGTAGGTTTAAAAGACAGTGAAAGATAGTGCTATTTGAAAGGATGATCAACTCTCTGTTTTCTATGGGATTTAGTTTCCAAATGTATAAATTTCCCTACGGCAAGAAATAAAAATATCTTCATTCTAATCTTTTTGTTGTTGAGAATATATACAGCAAAGCATATACCAATGCAACAATTTCTACTGGTACAATTTAGTATATTAACTACATTCTTCAAAGTGTGCAACCATTCTCACCCTGCTTTTCTGAACTGTTCCTCTCCTACTAATGTAAACTCACTGTCCCCTAAGTTTCCTATCTAATCTTTCAAGTTGTTGTCAATTTGATCCCATATATGTAGATCTTAAAAGAGCACAGTGCTCAAGGCAGACATTCTTTACTAGTTAAGCTGAACTGTTGTTTGGTTTTACAAAAGACTTCAGGGGATATTTTTGGCTTAATGTTTAAAGATTATTTCAGGGCAACAGTTTTAGGGGTTCACCCAGCTTCCATGGCTCCAGAAAGTCTGGATTCCATGAGAATTTCTTCAATCTTAACTTAAATATAAGTATCTGTCCAAATATTCCTTTCATATAACTGATACAGCTCTTAGCTTATAGCTATCCTCTTTTATCAATTCAAAGGGATCCCTAAGGCTCTCCAAATTAACATTCTCCTAAAATATAGTGCCAAAAAGCCTCAGTGTAAGAGTTTGACACAGAGAAGTCCATTCCGTGGCCACAGGTCCTCAACCCCAGCCAGCCATTTCACTCATAAATGTGACTGATAATAAACCAGTCAGCAGAAGACTATGATAGGAAACTCAGTATATACTGAGCAACACTAGAAGTGAGAAATATTTAAGGATCTGGTCCCAGTGAAAGATACCCTGATATAAGTTAAATAAGATATGTCTTTGCTAATAGCCAGCCTATTCACTTTATACTTAAACGATTGTTCAGCCTGCTGATGGTTAATTTCATATAAAGCCTGATAATACATGACCCTTCTCATTTTGTGTGTTGTATACTTGCTACTCATTTCTTTCTCCGATTCCTTTTTGTTCTAGTCTGGTACTTCTCAAAGTCTTAGTCTACATATGCAGTTATAATAACAATTATTTATTAAAATACTCTTTTACCTTTACTGGCAGCTATGCTTTAAATTCTAAGCAAGGATTCTCTACTTCAGCTGTACATTAAAATATTAGAATAACCTGGGAAACTTTAACTCCAGAGATTCTGATTTAGCTCTCTAGGGGAGCTTACACAGCAACCCAGGTGATTTTAAGCAGCCAGGATTGAGAAATATTGCTTTAGACAGAGCAATGCTTTTTAGCCTTGACTGCACATTGAAATCATCTGAGGAGCTTTAAAAAAATACTGATACTTAGGTCCCAACCCTAGAGATTCTGATAGAATTGCTCTAGGGTGCTGTGTATATAATGAGACTTTAAAGTCCCCCAAAGGAGTGTAAAGTGCAGCCAAAATTGAGAAATGTTTACAGTAAAGAACGCATGTCTTGAGTTAGAAGACATGAATTTTGCATCTCTTCTATCACTTATTAGTAATGAGACACTGGACAAATTACATAACTTCCCCGAGCCTTAGTTTTCTAATCTTTACAGTGGCAATGGTAATACCTACTTCACAGGATTGTTGTCAAGATTAAGTGAGATTAAGTAAGGTAAAATATATTATAAATTTTAAATAACTATGCAAAGATATTGGTACCCCTATATAATGAGTCTGGGGCCCCTAATTTTTCATGTTGTGTGCAGGAAAATATTCACATATAGTGTCTTCTCAAACTTTTACATAGAATTTTTGAAAATAAATATAAGCAGTAAAACATTTAGTAGTATGTACAGTACCTACTCAGTTAACTTTCTTCCATTTAACCGTTTTTGCTGTTTAATCATTAATATAGCACAGAAAGGAGCTGTTCCACCCTCTTCTTCACTCCTCCACCATCAGTCCCTGATCCCAGGTATTTCATCCAAGTTATGAAAGGATAAGAAAAATTTAATTCAACAAGTATTTATTGTCTATTATGTACATATATCAGTGCTGAGTGCTAGAGGAAACAGAAAGGAAGGAGAAAATAGAGTTCCTACCTTGAGGAACTTACACTCTGGAGATTGTATACAGGGAAAATGTATATGCATTTGAAGTGGTTACGTAAAGCAAGGAGATGTATAGAATTAATTGTCAAGAAGGACTATAGAGATACACAGAAGCAAGATCTCATCATGACCTAGAATGTTTGGAGAAAATGTTATAGAAGGAGAGGGCTTGAGCTCAGCCTTAAAGGAAGCTAAGGATTAGATAAATTTAGAAAAGTAATATAAATCAGGAATAATAGCAGGAGAAAAAAACAAAGCAGCAAAAATGAGCATGGGATGTGAAGAAATTGTCCAGGCTGAAATACAGGTAAATGGTTGAAGATATGGCCAGTTAGGTAAAACCAGATTATGGAAGGTCTTTAATGTCTGGCATATTTGGCTGATCTTTATTCATAGTTTTGGAGACTAACTAAAGGCTTTTGAACATGGCAATGATCTTATGGATAAGATGCCATGAGGAAGTAATCTACAAATGAGGAGGGGGTAATCTGCTAATGAGGGAGAGAATGGAGGAGATAGAGAGACTGGATGTAGGAGATGGTATTGACGTGGCATTGGTGGCCTTCAAAAAGGAAAGAAACATTTGAAGAAAGGATTAACAGGCTTTAGTTATATACTGGCATTAGGAAGCAAAGACTGGGGATTAGTGAAAAATGATATAGGGAATAATGGTGCCATTAAGAGATATAGGAAAATAAAGGAGGAGCAGGTTTGAGGGAATATGAGAATTTTCTTAGTAGAAATATCTAGTAGGCATTTGGCAACTCAGTGAGAAAGATCAGGAACAGATATTAAAATTTGAGAAAATATATATAAAGAAGTGACAGGTTTTCTAAAAGGGACAGAATGTTCAAAAGAAGAAGAAGAAGAAGAAAAGTAGAGGGCAGCAGATCTCATTTATTTGAAGTTTACGAGAGAAGCCTGTGAAGGAAACACACAAAGAAGGATCAGAGAAGGATGAGAGAAAACAGGATAGTGCAGTAACACTGACACACAGAGAACAGAGGTTCTTAAGGAAAAAGGAGTAATCAACAGAGTCCAGTGTCCCAGAAAGAACAAGGAAAATGTGGCCAGCCAAAGATTTGGCGGGGCGTGAACTTGAGAACCAAGGGTTCTACTTTTCTTTCTTTCCATGTGTGGACCATGAAATAACTTCAGGATCTTTATCCATACTTGGCATTCAAATGAATATTTTTAAAATTCAATCATTTTCATTCAATCTTTAGGGTTAGGGTCCAAAATGCCAGAGAAACTTTCCATTTTATATCACAATCCTGCCTAAATATACTTTGAAACTAGAATCCTTGTATTTGTACAGGGACACGTTATTTTAAAGCAGATAATAGAGGGTCTGTAGCTGTTCCTTACAGTTATTAAGGGGACTAGTCAATGAAAAGTATTAATATGTAATTTAATGTTCCTTTAAAATTAATAATCACGCTCAATCTTCAAAAGGATTAGAACAGACAAGCCCTATTGATAGTTATAAATAAGTTGTAACTACTTCTGCTTCTCTCTTTTTGGATTTACATAGTCAAGCAGCTCTTCAGAATCACCTAGGAAACACTTTTGAAAATGGCAGTTCCCAGACCACTTCCCCAAATATTTTGATTCAGTCAATATGAGAATAAAAAATGTATCATTTTATATCAAAAAGGTACATCCGTGATTCTGATGTGCTGCTAGGTTGGGAACCACTGCAATGAAGTGTGATGAATGAAAAGAGAAAAGAGGTTTTCAAGCAAATCAAAGAATGTAGGGCAACAGAAAAGGTTATCCCTCTTAACTCACTTACTAGCTATCAGCCTAAGAAGGGTCAATTGATAGAACCAAAGTTAAATTAAGAAGTAAATGATGGAAATAGTTAAAAATTAGTGAGAAAGGTTATCTACTCAAACCTATATTTTGTAACTCTTTAGATAGTGTTTTTAAACAGGTATGTTTATAAAGAGATATTTTAGTAGAAAAAGGCATAATTAAATGTCTGAACATACCTATGGGAAGCTGATTATTCCAAAAGACCATTAAAAGCACCACTATCTAAGGTAGTATCAGCCTAAGTTTATTGAAGGGAAACTAGAAGGAAATAAACAGCCAAAGACCCTTTTAATGTTCCAAAACCACACCTATAAAGGCTTGGCAGATTTTTTAGCAACTATCAGAGATGGTATGGCAAATCTTTATTTACTTCCTCAATGGGGTGAGATTCAATAGAATTCACAGCTATTTATTGAGCACCTGCTATGTGCCAGGCATCAAAGTAGGCATTTTCATATATGGCATTTAGGGCAAGTGAAGGAGCTCTGGTGGCACAGCACCTAAGGCATTTGACTGCTAACCAGAAGGTTGGCAGCTCAAACCCACAAGCCCACTCTACAGAAGGAAGATGGGGCAATCTACTTCCATAAAGAGTTACTGCCTTGGAAACCCAATGGTGGTCGCTATAAGTCAAAATCGACTTGATGGCAGTGAATTTGGTTTCTGGATTTTTGAGGCAAGTGAGGGAAGAGTCAGCTATTCATAAATCATTCTTAAGAAGTCTGAGAGGAAACATGATTGGGACTATGGCCAAATATTTTCCTAAGGCTCAGGCTCCCAACCATGAATAACAATGGTTAAAAGAGCAGGAAGAAATCTGGTTAGGGAGTAGAGCCCTCCTAACTCACTGACCCTCTATTAAAGTTCACATTACTCTAAGAGTGATTGTATATTAGTAATTATCAGTTAACCTTCATTTTCAGTTAATATAGTACCAGATAATAGAGAGGGAATATATCCAGGTACAGATATCTGTCAGGAGAGGTCGGGGACATAATAGGCAAAGTCACTTTTTTTACTAAGTTTCTGTAGCTTTCTCGTAATGAATAGGTTTCAGAATTATATTAAATAACTACTTATATTAAAAATAAGGAGATCTGGTGGGAGGGGAGGGAATGGAACACTACAAAAAAAAAAACTGATCTGTGTCACTTTAGTTTTGTGTATTTCACTGTACATAAATTATATTTCAATAAAATGTATTTAAAAAATAATAATAATAAGGAGATCTGGTGGCTCAGTGCCTAAGGCATTTGACTGCTAACCAGAGAAGTCTGGCAGTTCAAACCCACCAGTTGCTCTGTAGAAGAAAGACGGAGCAATTACTTCCAAAAAGATTTACTGCCTCGGAAACCCAATGGGGGTTGCTGTGAGTCAGAACTGACTGGGCGGCAGTGGGTTTGGTTTTGGTTTTGTATTAAAAATTGGTCACTTTGAGCTATATTGTGGTTTGGCTCCCTCCCCAGTTTAGTTGAGCCCCTCATTTTCCAGCCAGGTAGCCACAAAACATTGATTCTTTTCAAGATAGGATGTTCTGGAAATAGTATACTAGTTTGAAGGATGCAATTCAGAGAGGTCATGCAAAGACAATTTATATTGATAGTCACTTAGTATTAGTTAAGATATTATGCGATAACTCTAAAATAAAGTCTTCTAATAATTAAAGGAACTATGACTAACCTTTAAGCTCAGGATGTCTTCGTAACCTAAAAATAATGAGGATGGTGAGCTGGATCAGCACAATAAGCACAAAAAGGACCCGGGCCTGTAGAGACACAGATATCAGTGGGAAATAGATATGAGTACAGCTTCAGTTAAGATTTTAAAATGTCATTATTAACAAAAATGGAAATAACATTATTGAAAAAAATGGCTATATAAGTAAAATATATGGTCAAAGAGAATCAAACCTGATCTACTAAAAAAAGAAATTTATGAGTTTCTTTAGCATTACTCTTTCAGAATTTGGATACTTAGACCAATATTGAAACTAAGTAATTATATTAAGTGATCAAATTAAAATAGGCCACTTTCACTCTACTTGGAGAAATGGAATTTATTTTATTTAGAGTTGAATAAGCTAAAAAAAGTTATACATATGCGTATATAGGGAGCTCTGGTGGCATAGTGCCTGAAGCATTAGACTGCTAAACAGAAGGCTGGCGGTTCAAACCCACCAGCCGCTCCTGGGAAGGAAGGTTGGACAATCTACTTCCGTAGTTACCCCGCCTCGGAAACCCAAGGAGGTGTCGCTGTGAGTTGGATTCGACTTGATGGCAGTGTATATATGTTGTGTAGCCATCCTTACCATCCATTTCCAATTTTTTTCATCACCTTTAACAGAAACTCAGCAACACTTAAGCAATAACCTCCCCTTCCCCCTCCCAACCACCTCTGTTGTTGTTGTTGTTATGTGCTGTCGAATTGGACCCAACTCATAGCAACCCCTCCTTGGGTTTCTGAGGCAGTATCACTACGGAAGTAGATTGTCCAACCTTCCTTCCAAGGAGCGGCTGGTGGGTTTGAACTGCCAGCCTTCTGGTTAGCAGTCTAATGCCTTAGGCACTATGCCACCAGAGCTCCCATTTATATATACACACACACACACACACACATATATGCTTGTATATGTGTATACACACACATATGTACATGCTGTAGGCTGTATATATGTGTATGTCGTAATCAGCAGAGACTACAATTTCTTTGTCAAGAAGTCATTCACTTATTTGTTAACTTTTTATTGTAATTTTGGGGAAAGTTTACAAAGCAAATTGGTTTTCCATTCAATAATTCATAGAAGTATTGTTTCATGACAGTGATAGCAATCCCCAAAATGTGAGAGCACTCTTCTAGTTCCTTCCTGTGTTTTGTTTACATTTATCCTTTCAAATCCCTGCCTGCCCTTTGAGCTTTTATCCCTGGGGAAATGCTCCTCTTTTAATCTCCTATAGTTGATTGTTCTGAGTGCATACCTCTCTGGTGATACTGTTCACCTTACAGGTTTGTCTATCATTTGGCTGAAAGTTGAGCCATGCAAGTGAGTTCAGTTCCAGCTTGAAGGGTGTCTAAAGGCCATAGTCAGTCTCTATTTGACCACTAAGCCTGGTCTTTTTTATTATTATTATTATTTTGAGGTGTGTTTTTTTTCCACATTTTTCTCCTACTCTATCCAGGACCTTCAATTGTGATCCCTTTCAGAGCAGTTGGCTGAGGCATTTGTTTATTTGTAGCACTTCCATATGCTACGGAGTGGGGTTGGCTGTAATTTTAGAAAAGCAGCTCACCAGGCCTGGTTCTTCAGTGGTATTGCTGAGTGGGTGCAAACAGGCAACCTTTAGGTTTGCAGCCGAGTCAGACTATCTGTGCCTCTAGGGACTCTTCAGAGCAGTTGGTTGTGGCAGCCAAGTACCATCTAGTTCTTATCTCAGGGTCATTGAGGCTGGGATTCCCATAGCCCATTAGTCCTCTGGACTAATTTTTCCATGTGTCTTTTGATTTTCTTACTCTTCTTTGCTCTAGACAGACAGACCAATAATTTGCACCTTAGATGGCTGCTCACAAGCTTTTAAGACCCCACTTGCTACTTACCAAAGTAGGATGTAGAACACTGTCTTTGTGGACTATGTTATGCCAATGGACTTTGATGTCCCCTGAGACCAGGGTCTTGAGCCCCAGGCCCAATGACTCATTCTCTCAAGGTGTTTGATTATTGCTAAGAAGTTTTCATAACTTAGCTCCTGTATGTGCTACTATGTTGTTAAGTGCCATCAAGTCGGCTCCGACTCATTGCAACCCTATGTACAACAGAACAAAACACTGCCTGGTCCTGTGCCAGCCTCATAATCCCTACTGTACCTGAGCCCATAGTTGCAGCCACCATGTCAACCCATCTCGTTGAGGGCCTTCCCCTTTTTTGTTGACCCTCCACTTTACCAAGCATGATATTCTTCTCCAGGGAATGGTCCCTTCTGACAACATGATCAAAGTAGCTGAGATGAAGTCTGGGCATTCTTGCTTCCAAGGAACATTCCAACTGCACTTCTTCCACGACAGATTTGTTTGCTCTTGTGGCAGTCTACCGTACTTTCAGTATTATTCACCAACACCACAACTCAAAAGCATCAACTTGTCTTTGGTCTTCTTTATTCACTGTCCAGCTTTCATATGCATATGAGGTGATTGAAAATATGTGCAACTATATTCATGGATATATTTGCAGCATATAGAAAAATATATGTAGAAATACCCTCTGTTGAGCTTATGTATATTCATGGGTATAGTCCCATTCACCTTCTCACACTGGTTCAAATTATGTGTCTATGTATGTATCCAATTGCACATTATTGTTATTACTATTATAGCAGGATTGTATATATAATAGTATTTACCTTTATTGCCTTTGCTGCTTCCAGTGTCTTCCTTTGCCTTGATCATTTTGTGCTTACCTTCCCCTTACTATGTATTGCCTTTCCCTTCACCTAAGTTAATACTTGTCTATCCTCTAGTTAGTGATGTACCTTCCTTCCCCTCTCACCCTTAGTAAACTTCAAATGATGTTTCTGTGTGTAGAGTTGTTTTTTTTTTTTTTTACTTTTTCTAATACCAGTCTCATACAATAGTTGTTCTTTTGTGATTGACTAATTTTATTCAGCATAATGTCCTCCACCACCAGCCACTCCTCAGAAGGAAGATTGGGCAATCTACTTCTGTAGTGATACTGCCTCAGAAACCCAAGGAGGGATCACTATGAGTTGGATCCAACTCGATGGCAGTGAGTTTGGTTTTGGAATATCCTCCAGGTTCATCCATGTTATGAGGTGTTTCACAGATTCATCATTATTCTTATTCTTAACACCGCGTTAAGAATATGTGTTCACTGTATGTGTGTGTACTATAGTTTATCCATTCATCCATTGTTTGGCACTTAGGTTGTTTCCGTCTTTTTGCTATTGTGATGAACATGGGTGTGCATACATCTGTTTGTGTCAAGGCTCTTATTTCTCTAGGATATATACCTAGTAGAATTGCTGGATCATAATGGTATTTCTATTTCCATTTTTTTTAAGGAAGTGCCATACCATTTTCCACAGTGGTTATATTGTTGTACAGTCCCACCAGCAGTGTATGAGGGTTCCAGTCTCTCCACACCCTCACCAGCATTTGTTGTTTCCTGTTTTTTATGAACTTTGCTATTAATACTGAGGGGAGATGATATCTCATTGTTGTTTTGATTTGCAGCTCTCTAATGGCTAATGATCATGAGCATTTCTCCATGTGTTTGTTGGCTGCCTGAATGTCTTCTTTGGTGAAATGTCTGTTCACGTCCTCTGCCTATATTTTAATTGGATTGTCTGTCTTTTTGTTGCTGAAGTGTTGAAGTTTTCTATAATTTTAGAGATTAGTCCTTTGTCTGATATGTCATTGCCAAAGATTTTTTCCCAGTCTGTAGATTCTCTTTTTATGCTTTTGGTGAAGTCTTTTGATATGCATAAATGTTTAATTTTTAGGACTACCTAAGTCATATAATTTGTCTTTTGCTTTTTCTGCATTTTTAGTTACGTCTGATGGTATATTTATGCAATGGATTAAGGCCCCTAAGTTTGCTCCTATTTTTTCTTTAATGATTTTTATACTTTTAAATTTTACATTTAGATCTTTGATCCATTTTGAGTTAGCTTTTGTTTATGATATGAGATATGGATCCTGGTTCATCTTTCTGTAAATGGATAGAAAGTAAAATTATGGAAGGTTTAAATTTTCTTTACAACATGTTTGTATTTTTATTTTAATGCTCAGGATAGGTAGGACCTGAGAGAAACAGAATACAAATTTCCACATTTTCTCTAGAACATTATTTGATACTGTATATAAAACATTTTTAAAATATCCATTTATTCATTCAAGAAATATCTATTGAGGCCCTACTATGTACTGCAACACCAGACGTTCTCTGACCTCATGAGGCTTATATTGTAATAAAGGAGGGCAGACAAAAGCAATAAATAAATAATAAATAATTTATCATAATTACAATAAACAAGTATATAGACTAGTGTCTCTACCCTGTGATCCAGCAAGTCACTTCTAGAAATGTAACCCAAGTAACTATATTATATATGCAAAAACTTCGTTACAAATATTATTTATACTAGAGAAAAAAACTGGAAACAACTTAAATGTCTGACAATAAGGAAGTGGTTAAATAAATTATGGTATATCTAGGTCAATATAATGAAGCCAATACAGATGTTCTAAAATAAAATCAATTGATGTGACAAAATGTTCAAAACAAACCCTTCATTGAAAAAGTCAGACAGCAAAAGAGAATGAAAAATATAATACCATTTTATATCAAAAATTCATATATATATATATATGAATGTTTAATTTTTAGGACTCTATATGGAGCTCTGGTAGCGTAGTGCCTAAGGCACTTGACTGCTAACCAGAAGGCTGGCGGTTCAGGTTCAAACCCACCAGCCACTCCTTGGAAGGAAGATGGGGCAATCTACTTCCGAAGTGATACTGCCTCAGAAACCCAAGGAGGGGTCGCTATGAGTCGGATCCAACTCGACGGCACATAACAACAACAACATATATATGTATATTGAGCCCTGGTGGCACAGTAGTTAAGCACTCAGCTGCTCATTGAAAGCTTGGCGCTTCAAACCCACCAGTTGCTCTGCAGGAAAAAGATATGGCAGTCGGCTCCCATAAATATTTACTATCTTGGAAACCATATGGAGCAGTTCTACTCTTTCC